CATAGCATAGCATACTAAATCCAGGATAAAATCCAAAGGGACGAACCGAATGTCGTAGACCCTGTCAGTATAGTGACAAGAACGCACCTGACACTACTAAAGTCCTACGAATAAAACTCCCGCTGCTGGTTGACAGATTCCCTAGCTATCAACAACAAACAATACATAATTAATAATTGGGTTCCAAGCGCAAGATCCAACAAACACACCAAAAGTTCAACAGTCAAGTAATGGGCCAAAGCCTAAGATATGGCCCAATTTTTGAAATTCGGCGCCGACCTGTACATGGTCTTTCCTTATGGCCCATCCAACTATTCCAATCCAAGTCCCATTGCCCAATATCACATACTCATGAAGGCACAAACTATGGCCCAATTTTCCAAATTGGGGCTAACCCCTCATATGGGCCTTACCCTAAGCCCATCAATATATTCTAGTCTATTTGATCATTTTTGGATGGTCCACTAATAATCCAATTACCAAAGCCCAAAAAGGAAGGCCCAACTCAAGGCTCGAGAGAGATTAGGGATTTCACATGAAATGATGATTAGGTAAAGTGTTTCTTACCTAACCCATTACGGACTTAATTCACTAAGGACTTAATCCATTAAGTCTAACATTCCCTTAGGTTACTTAGCCATTAATTATTATATAATATTTCAAGTTATTAAATACTTTTGTGTGTGTCCCGATTAATCCTCAAAACTAAGGTTTAAAGCCATTAGGATTTTTCCAAACCCAAATTAGGTTTTCCTACCCAATACTAATCTATTAGTCAGTCGGTTAGGCTTTTAGGTCACCTTGGGCATCATTGGGCCCATTAAGATTTTATTAGGTCAATTAGGGCTTTATTGGGCCGCATTAAGCCCAGTAGAGTTTCATTAAACCCATTTGTCACATGCTTGGGCTTTTAGGTCCATTAAACCTCATTGGGCCTATTAGGCTTTACAAGGCCCAAACTAGTCACTATCCAAAAAGGCAAACCGCCACCCGACATGGCAGCCGATGGCGGCAGCCACCACCCTAAGGTGGTGGTTTTCAATTTCTTTTATTATTCCATTTTCAAATTACAATTTACAACACCATCCATTTAACACACACACACACACACACACTCACACACCAATAAAAACACACACATACACACACCCACCTCGTGGTGGCTAGTGGTGGTATATGGTGGCAGCCACCACCTCATGGTTGTGGCAACGACTTTTTCTGTGACTCCGGCCAGGCAGTACACGACACACAACTTCTTGCTACTTAAACACTCACCCAAACAGACATCTAGAGGCAGTAGCATCGGTGGTTGTGATGACAGCCACCACCTCACGGTGGTGGCGAGTTTCCTTGAATCCCCATCAAGCAACACTCGTCCATAGATCACAAAACGACGTGAGCTCGACACTGAACGTACTCCGATCTCAGCCACTCCCAAGGCGGCTTCTGGCAGTCGAGGGTGATGGTAGCATACACGAGCAACCGACGATAGCAGCGGTAGATGGACGCATCAACACGAATGGTGGCACATGTCGATCAGGGGATAACATCAGCCGGAATAGCCTCTTCGAAATGGCGACCTTGCAACGACAAAAGAAGAAGACGGTGGGGGAACGATCGTCTACTCGGGTTCGTCGGGAAGGAAAGGCAGACGCTAAAGTGGGGCAGATCAATGTAGCAGGAGACGAAGATGGCCACCTCGGTGGTTCGCTACAATGAGTCTGTGGTGGACTTGGTCGGTCGGAACGACAAAAAGGGCGAACGGTGGCGGCTGGAGAGAGGTGGGGGTGACGGTTGCATCTTAAGTTGTGTAGGGTTAGGGTTTGACGGGCATAACATAGTTAAATACCTCGAGCCCTTGAGAATGTATCCCATAATAGCCAAAATGGCCCCTCCTTCCCATACTTCTTTCAAAATAAATCCAATATTTACCATTTAAACCCTTGCTCCCATAATTCTTTTCAATATAAGTCCATCAGTTACAAAATAACCTCTCCTATACAAATCATTCTCAATTAAGATCCATAAATTACCATTTCTACCCTGGCTTCAAGAATCCTTCTCAAAATAAGTATGATATTTACACTTTTAACCCTAGTCATTCAAGATCCTTTCAATATAAGTCCAATATTATTCTTTAACCTGTGAAACCAACATTCCAATACTTATTATTAAATTTTGAGATCTAATAATATAAAATAATAAAAAAATAATAATAATTACTTCCCGGGGTTCCTGATTTATCATTTAATTACTCTATTTAAACGGTATGTTACAACTAGTACGGTTGTTCTAACTGTTACTCATTTATAGAAAAGTCTAAATTGTTCAACATAAGCAACTAGGTTAAGTATGTTCCTTAAAAAGGAGTTTAATATTCATGTATGTATTTAATGAGTATAACTATGATTTAGCAGACAACCCAACTAGTGATCCTACCCTAAGTCCATAACCAAACAAGGAACAAGAGTCAAGGTATTTAGCAATAGTCCTAAGTCTGTTAAAGCATACTTATACGTAAACAGAGAAACGAATATGATATTAATATAAAAATTTTAAAATAGCTTAAAAGAGTTTAACGAGTTTTTGAGTATAAAAAATCCTTTTGTTTGATGTTTTCACATGTAAATGGGTAACACAACTATACCATGTTTTACTTGTATTTTCCACCTAAAAGCATTTAAATGCATTAAAACTATAATTTTGTAGGAATATGAACTCACCTTTTGAGAGTGATTCAAATGAAGGTACGATATAGGATGATTCAGTCACAAGTTAGATTCCGGGACAAAACAAGTCCAAAACAACACATTGACATGAAATTAGTGAATATAACCTCAAAGGCATTAGGAAACAACCTAGGATGTAAGGAACACTTAAAAGCAAGTGTTAGAACTGAAATCAAGAAACTACTTGATGTTCACGGATAGACCTCGGTGTTCACGGCCGTAAAGGGTTCACGACCCTTGAAGATTTGAAGGGTTCACGACAGAAAACTTAGAAATGAAGAACACTTGATTATTGAAAGCATAAACTTTTGATGATCCACAACAAGATTCAACGGTTGCTAAGGATCCTTGGATGATAGATGAGAGAAAGAAGGGTTTACAGTTGACAATACTTGAGAGAGAAATTATGTGTTTACGGTCAGAAATGTAGAAGTGAGTAAAAAATCAGTCAACTTTAATATATATATATATATATATATATATATATATATATAAGGAAGATTTCACAACCGCAAAGGGTTCACGGCCGTGAAAGGTTAGCGGTCCGAGGGTGGTTTACAGTCGAAGGCTCGTTTGCAGCCTAAGCAAAGATTCTCGGTGCTAAATGCATTCTCTCCGAAACACACAACACTTAAGAATCCTAGGATTATATACCTATAAATTCATTACCCTAAATATAATATGATAACAAAAAAATTTAATTGAATTTATTGTTAGTCCGACAACATTCCGGTGATAATCTGGAGGTAGCCCGATGACAGTTGTTAGCAGCCGATTGTAGAGTTGGGAAAATGAGAGTTTTCTTCGAGTATATATATATATATATATATATATATATATATATATATATATATATATATATATATACACCCTTAACGGTATATATGCTTAGGTATCCAAACTCACCATAGTATGTTGTTTTGTTTCATATGTGTACATTGTAATTATCCAATGTTCTTATAATTCAACTTCTAACTTGATTTACTTCTAAGATTTTTATAAATGTCATATTTATCTTCCTCTTACATCATTTTCATTATCAACTTTAATATATATAGTCTAATAGGTGTTCGGTAAAAAGAAGTGATATAAGAGGAAAACAATAGTGAAATTTCGAAAATCTTTAAAGTAAATCAAGTTAAAGTTGAAGTTTAATAATATTATAATGAATATATCAAACAAAACAACTAATTATAGTGAGTTTGGATACCTATGCTTTTATACCCTTAAGGGTATATTCACTTTTCCCTATACGATCGTGAACTCCCTGGTGGGCTTCATATGCTACCGTTGCAAATCAAATGGTGTAGGAGGAATATAATGGTGAATGTTTGAAAATCTTGGAAGTAAATCAAGTTAAGGGTTGAAGTTTAAGAACCTTAGACGATTGCAATGGAAATATAATGCGAAACAATATACTATGATATGGTTAGGTACCTAAGCTTATATAAGGTTGTTAGGTATATTCACTTTCCCTATATATATATATATATATATATATATATATATATATATATATATATATATATATATATATATATATATATATATATATATATATATATATATATATATATATATATATATATATATATATATGGGAAAAGTGAATATAACTAACAACCTTATATAAGCTTAGGTACCTAGTCACATTATACTATATTGTTTTGCATTATATTTCCATTGCAATCGTCTAAGGTTCTTAAACTTCAACATTTAATTTGATTTACTTTCAAGATTTTCAGACATTCACCAATATATTCCTCCTACACCATTTGATTTGTAACGGTAGTATATGAAGCCCACCAGGGGGTCTTCGATAAAAAAACATCATTTGAAGGAAGATAATGGTGAAAGTACAAAGATTTTGGAAGCAATCAAGTTATGAGGTTGAATTTAAAGAAGATTACAATGCAAATATGATACAAAATTACGTAGTTAGATGTGGTTAGGTACCTAAGCTTATATAAGGTTGTTAGGTATATTCACTTTACCGTATATATATATATATATATATATATATATATATATATATATATATATATATATATATATATATATATATATATATATATATATATATATATATAAAGAGAGAGAGAGAGAGAGGTGCCTTTAAAATCCTTTCCCATTTATAATAAGTCCACGTAAAAGTATTAAAAATCAAATTTTTGTACTTCCCAAATATACATATACTCGTGTTGTAAATAATGAAAGAATCCTGTTTCCAATTTCCATCCACTAAATATCTTAAATTTTCCCTTTCTCGAGATGGACGATAACCTTGGTATTGCTATCGTTTTCCATATCATCGTCGCCGTGGTGGCACTCAACCTTATATGTTTGTACTCATTTCCACACCCCCCGAAGCTCTCTATAGAGGAGTTATCGGTTCCAGCCATCAACACCTCGTCAAACCAGACCACTAGAAACATATATTTCGACCTTAAACTCAGAAATATGAATATAGCAATGGGTCTTTACTACGATGACCCATTAACCATTGCATTCTTTGCTTACCCATATGATGATCCCTACCAGAAATATGTGTGGTCAGGCACTTTCGCAGCCTTTTACCAAGGTAATGGCAAGACTAAGCATATCAGATCCCTCAAGGAGAACAACCTCCAATTTCCATCTACAGTGGTGATTGACCAAGAAGAGCACACACAAGATCTCGTAGAGACTGGTCATGTCAGAACGCTGCTCAAGGATCACCTCCTGCTGCCATCCACATTGCCAGAGACTCGTCGGGACTTGGTGGGTCCGATACTTGTGGTGAATATTAGGATCGCTGTGATTATTAACTATAGATTCAAGTACTGGGTCGGATCATCTAATCATCAACGCGAACTGGGTGGTAACGTGATCGTTGACCTTAGTACTGGTGAGATGATCTCGACCGGAAGCGTTGAGTTGAAAGAATCCGCAGCCCCCGCCGGAGGACCACTTATGCTCGTGTTACTTTGTACTTCATTTCTTCTTATTATGTGTAATTAAATGTAGTTAATTTGTCCGCTTGTACTGTTTCTTTAAGGGTTCTTCACATTGTATGGGAACTAATAGTATGAATTCAAGTCTTGTTTGGTGCATGCCATAACTTTTTATCCTGCACAAGTGTCGTTAGTGTCTCGACTCTAGATTTCTCTAGTTACTTGTTTATTCGGAAGATATAAATAACTGAATCAGAAGAAGAAGATACTGGAAAGTCTGAAAATTTAAATGGTAAAAAAATAAATTCCTTTAACTGCGTTTTTTAGTCACTACTTTCGGGGTTCAAAAAGTGAAAAACCCATATTCTGAAATTCTCGCTATTTTGATTTCGATTTCCAATCCATTCGAATGCAGCTGCAGAATCTATCATTTCTTCTCCATCACTATATTTATTTTGTTTTTGTTGAAACTCGATGATTTGAATCATTCAAGTATTTGATGAATGATCGTGATACATCATATCACGGATTTAAATTATGCCTCGCGTTTGAGTTCCAAACTAGCTTGCAATTTGGTTTAAGTATATGAGGGCTTTAATTTAGGTTTCAGTACAAATATGATTGAAAGACTTGTTTAGTGTAAACAGCGGAAATATTGTTATCAGATAAATTTGATTTGATAAAAATAAAAATCATTCCACTATTGTTTGTGGTTTGATTATGATTTTATAAATTAATAGGTAAACCAGACAAAAGTCATTAACTTTTAATATATATATATATATATATATATATATATATATATATATATATATATATATATATATATTAATTTTAACAATGCATATTTTGTGTTGCAATTAGGTTACTATGTATTAAATTTTTTGCAATTTGAACGCTTGACTAGATGACCGTTTCAAGTCATCCGGTTGTCATAGCCGACGTGGCACGATGACACGTCAGAAGCGAACAAAACATAGCATAGAAGTCAGTATGTTTTCATTTATTTGCGATTTGACAATATGTTTTTAACCTTTTACAATATTGACACTAAGTTTTCGATATTCTCTAACGTGCAAATGTAAATGAAATAAGCATATCTAATTTCTACCCCCGTCAATGAAAATAGGGAAAATAACTTTTGAGGGTAACTAATTATCGTGTTTATTCTCATTTGGTCACTTTCATTTTTTTATTCAATATATCATCGAACTTGTTATTTGTGTTTACCACAACCATTTTGACCGATGATAGCAGGTGAAAGGGTTATGGTGAACACAAACAACAATTTCGATGGTATAATGAGTACAAAAAAAAAACAAAAAACAAAAAGGACCAAATGAGAACAAATGCAATAGTTGGTTACCCTCCAGATTCATTTTCCTTTTACTCATTTACAGCAAATCCCACCACGTCAGCTCCTGCTGATATTAATGACGTTATGAGATTCGTTATTGCTTATCTTCAAAACATAACCCACGAAAGAACATTATTCATATGTGTACAACTTTATAATGCACTTGAATATTTATTATAAGAATATTGACTAAGCAGGTGCATTTCATGACTACATTTACAATTCCAATAAAATGATTTATCATATCATGTATTCTAGACAAGTCTACAAACAAGTGGAATCACAAGTACTGTGATTTTTTAGTTTACTTAGCTTTGAGATCGAATTCATGGGATAAGATACAACATCAATATGCATAATATCATGCAGCTTTTGCAAACACATCACAATAATATACCTTAAGGTAAACGTTTATACTGATAAATATACCTCTCATACAGAGCCGTATCCTTTTGCAGAGAGATGTTGATAGCTAACCACAGTAAGCATAACATAAACCATGTTTTAACGAAGTTACCCCTCAGAAATGATCTTCATATACAATATGGCCAAAGAAGGTTGCAGTTTTTGATAATTTTATAACCTTAATTTCATTGAACTTTTCAGGTAAAATGACTCAGGAGGGTAACCAACTGTTGAGCTTGTTTTCACTTGGTCCCTTTCCGTTTTTTTGTACTCAATATACAATCAAACTTGTTGTTTGTGTTTACCATAACCCTTTGACTAGCTATCACAGGTCAAAAGCCAGTCAAAGGGTTATGGTGAACACAAACAGCAAGTTTAGTGGTATATTAAGTACAGAAAAAAGGAAACTGACCAAATAAAAACAAACGGAACCCCTCCAGAGTCATTTTTGCATGAAAATATTCGTTTGTGAATAGTCTTTGTGTATCATATATTTGTAAATAAGAATTGAATTATAGAACCTTAATTTGTTAGATTATATACCATTTAGGTTTTACTTATTCGATGATGTAGTACATATACTGGCTTTTTTCTCCATCCTCCCTCGTTTACTTGACCTTGCCTCGTGTATGTAAATAACTTGTTTTCATAACTCAAAATCATGCCTGCTTTTGGTTGTAAAAGCATTCCTACTACATGTTTCTTGACTCAAAAGTAAACCATATGTGATTTTATTTTAATCTTAGAACAAAAATAGAGAACTATGGATCGAATAAAAAGAAAGAAAGAGATAATTATCGACTAACTTACACTTTGTTGGCAGCATAAATCGCATAGATAGGATGTGAAGGTACAACAATCACATCACTTGAAAAAATATTAACAGTGACATCTCTTTTCCTCACAATCATTTCTTCAATCACAACTCTTGTTACCAAACATGTACCTATCGCATTCACTTACATCGAATTTGTCACACCCCAAAACCGGAACGACAGAAACGTTTAAGGGTGGAGGACGTCATGTACAATATCACATCATAGAATAATAGCAAACAAGTAAACAACATCATCCATTGCTTTAATAATATAATTTAATACAAGTGTGTTCTGTATAGTTTATAACACACCAAAAATGTAAATCAAAATATAGGATGAGTCTTGAATGCGCTTCATCTTCTCAAAAACTAGCATCAATACCTGTCTACTGATGACCTGATAATACAAGTTATTCTAAAAGAGTTTATCAACTTTAAAGCTCGTGAGTTCATAAGTATTTTAGTGTCATTGTTTGCATCAAATTCTTTGTGACAGTGTTTGAAGTATGAGTTTGTAAATGTTGTAGTAAAAGTATGTGAATGTTTGTAAATGTTTGTAAATGTTTGAAACTCCTAGAAAATCCTATATTATCAACTAAAAGCAGCCTTCTACCAAGGCACGACTGTTTTGTATGTTTGTTTCTTGTAAAAGTGTATAATTTTCCCAAGTATAACTATCAATATCAAAATATAGTTTATACATTATCGTTTATGTGAAATGATCACAAGGTGAATGAAAAGGGGAAATTAATGTAGTATTGTAGTGTTGTATTATAATAACTACTGATGTACTAACTACCTTAAACCGGATTTATATCAAGGTATTATGTGATTGACTGTACCATACTATCGACCATAAACACGACGATGAAAGACGTCGGAAGTAATGACATTTGGCACCTATAGACCTGTAGGTCCCACTGTATCTAGTAAAAAAGGTGTAGGATAGTCAATACAATATAGATCTATACGCAAACTCACGCTCTCCCTCCAGGAGATTCTGGCTACAAATCGGGCCCCGAAACAGTGGTTCACATTTATATTATAGTATACTTGTATATGTATTGTATCTACTAGTTTAGTGAATGTATTGTTTCTCGTTATAGTAGTCTCTATCTGTTTCTCATAATAGTATAGTTGTATAGTTTCTCATAATAGTATTGTCACACCCCAAAACTGGAACGGCGGAAACGTTCTAGGATGGAGGACGTCATGCCAAGTATCACAACATATGCAGTATAGCAATCAAAGTGCAACAACCAGTGCATTAATAGTAACAATTTCACATAGGTTACATTTAATAACAACATCGAAGTAAATACAACGAATAACATAGAGTGCAGCTCGATATAAGGCTGTCTTCACAAAAGCTCCCGGAGTGTACCTGTCTACTAATGACTTGAGAATACAAGTTATTTTGAAAGCGAGTATCAACATTTTTAATGTTGGTGAGTTCATAAGTATTTAATGATATTGGTATAAATACATGTTTTCCTTAAAAATAATCACATAAATGATAGTGGTTTAGAATTTACAGAGCATTAGAATCCTTACCAGAAATCCCATATTTTCTAATAAAAAGTAGTCTTCTACCAAGACCCAATTGTTTTATGTTTAAACAAGGGGTATCTCTATCAAAAGCAGTCTTCTACCTAGACCTGACCGTTTTATGTTTAAGGAGTATTTTCCTTAAAAGTACTATCATTATCAAAATATAGTTTACACTTTACAGAATATGCAAGAAGATCACAAGTAAAAGTAATAAGGAAAATAATATTTTACTTCAGCAGTAACGCTACTAGCTAAAAGTAAATAAAACATAGACTCTAGGTGGTATTGAATGAATCAATACACCTCGCAAAGTCTAAAGAAATGAAGTACAGACTCCAGACGGTATTAAACGAACAATACGCCTCGGAGAGTAAAAAAGAATGAAATACAGACTCCAGGAAGTTTTAAGTGAACAATACGCCTTAGAGAGTCTAAAAGAATGAAATACAGACTCCAGGAAGTATTAAATGAACAATATGCCTCGAAGAGTCTCAAAGAATCAAAAATACAGACTCCAAGAAGTATTAAATGAACAATACGCCTCAGAGAGTCTAAAAGAATGAAATACAGACTCCAGGAAGTATTAAATGAACAATATGCCTTGGAGAGTCTAAAAGAATGAAATACAGACTCTAGGAAGTATTAAATGAACAATACGCTTCAGAGAGTCTAAAGGAATCTTTAATCCTAAGTAGGTTTATTTAAAGATTTAAAACGTGGCCTAGTGTATAACTAGGAAGATATATATTTAAGGATTATTTTATATATAGAAAATATCATGATGATACTTATTACCTTAAAGCCATGAATTATAAGGTAACTCTAGAGATACTCGTAACCATACTGATTGACAATCGAATACTTTGACGACCTGTTGGCGTCGGAGTGAATGTGACATTTGTCATCCCTTGGCTTGGTTGGTCGGGACTGTTGCGAA